AGCATGGCACTGGCACTAGGGAGAGGCAATGGATGATGTGTTCCTTCCCTCTCCTGAGGGAAGGATAGGCTCTTGCTGAGGGCTAGAAGATCCAGAGACTGATGCTTACTTAGCTAACCATCACTTTAGGGTTTTCTCATAAATTAACTTAAAACTGCCATAAAGGCACTTAAAATTCACCCATCTAAGACAGGGGTTGTCAACTGGGGGTACGCATAACCCTGGGGGTACTTGAGATGGCTCTAGGGGTATGTGCGGGCGGGCAGGGACAGAGCGCTGCCATGAGGTGCTGCCCACCCGGCCAGACACAGGGGGTGGGGGAAGCTTGCATGCAGTGGCTGCCGCCACTCCACATCCAGCCACTCACTCCCCCAACCCGCAGCTCGGTGGCTGGGCGTACACTGCTCCGTGTCCGGCTGCTGTGGGGTACAATGATGCAAAAGGTTGAAAACCCCTTATCTAAGAGTGTTAAACCATAATAAGTATCCTTTAAAGTCTAAATATTTTAAAGATAAGCTACTCAAAAGGAGGTTTATCTTGGAAACGCTTTCCCCGTATTGTCTGAATGCTCAGGGGAGGTAAAACACGTTACGTTCATTCCTCCAGCATCCTAGGATGCACAGCTCCCAGCTACTCTACCTCTTCCCACCCTCCAAAACTCTAGTGGTCCCCCTGCCCCTGCCTCTTTTTCCCACTGAGAGCAACTGCTCTGAGACATATAACTGAAGAGAAACCATGGAGTCTCCCCTAACTTTATGACAGCACAATAGTCCATAGATTTCTGGTGTTATACAGGAAATCTGGGACAAAGCCCTTAGGCATCTGTGTGATTCTTCACCTTCATACTATGATCACATGTTACAACAGATACAAATTTCAGCTATTAAAAAAGGGACTTGGACTGCAGAACACTGGGTATGTTTGAGATGCCCCTGGGGATCACAACCCAGGGAGCAGCTAACTTAGGTTCTGTGAGAAATGAAATTTAGTATACTTAGGCCAGGTACAGACATTACACTTTTACCAGTATAAATGATTGGAAACCATAGCAGAATAGAAGTTTAGACTGGTTTTAAAATGGCAGAACTGGGTCTAAGTTTTGTCCTCCCCCTCTCTCCGCCACCAACATTAAAGGGCTAATGTGTGTTCTGTTCATGACTGTTGTAAACCATGCCACTTACAGAAAACTGCATAACTTAGATCAATTCTGCCTCAGCCTTTTTGAATATTTGTACTTAGCTTTAAAGAGTAGATGTGCATGTAACAGTGCAGAAAAAATCTTGTTCAATGCTATTATGTAAACTGCTATTATGGGCTCAACCCAGGAGAGATGGCATTTTAGGTACCAATCTCAAGGAGAAGGCTCACTCATATCAACAAAAGGGTGAATCCTGGTGAGCTTGTTTTCCACTATTTTCTTATGCAGCATGAAGATATTCTCACAAGTGGTATCAGGTTCTCCAACTTTGCAGATACCAATATAAAGTCTTCTACTGCTTATTCCAGATTACAACAATCATAAGATGCTGTTGCAAGATGCTTTAAAGGCTAGGGACAGAAATTACAGGTAAACCAATATAAATGACCAGAAACAGGTACAACTCTGTAACACAACAGAACTTCAGTGCACATAAATCACTTTCAAAATGGCCAAAACTGGTTGAAGGTAAACCTGGATGGATGTAGTATTGGACTTAACTGATTTAGGTTAAGTTGGTTTACTGAACTTCTGTCCCAGATCCCCTCCAGATTCAAGTTAACTCAGTCCTCCAGCATCCCAGAAAGCTTTGCATCTCCCCTGAAAACACCCCCTTGGAGGGTGGGTGGGCTAGCTTTGGCCTAAGCTTTCTGCTCCATCCATGCTGGGAGGCATGCTTTAGCACCCCCTGGTTCTGGCATTAGTTACTGCAGGCATGTGGCTGCATTTCTGGAATCAAAAGTGAATGTCTGTTCACTTGCTTATCGGTTCAAACTATGAAGCTTACACTAACCTCTGAAAATCAAATCAATTTAGGCTTGGGCTTTTGACTATCTGTACTTAGCCAAAAAGGCTAAAGACTGATTGGATTCAGAGAGCAGTATCTGTCTAGCTGTGAAAATAAGTTCTTCTAGTGAAGTGGATAAGTGGGGAAAACTTGCACTGACTCTGCTCATGATGTAACTTCAATGACATTCACCAGCACTGAATTCACTTAAAAACTAAGTAATTCAGTGTTTTTCTTGTTAATAGGGAATACATGGCCACCCAGGAGATTATGGAAACACTGGAAATCCTGGTCCAAAAGTATGATTATAATTATTTTGTTTTTTACTGTAAATAATATCTGGATCTTGTTTTGTTTGGCTTTACACAGTTACAACCATAAACACTTTTCCCTTTTATTTCAAGGGTCTAGTGGGCACTAAAGGTGAAAAAGGAATGAAAGGATTACTTGGTGAACAGGTTTATACTTACCTTATATTGTGCATATGTCCAATTTTTTAAATTTACAGGAAATATATCAAGCTGTATATTTTTTCTATGCATTTAGTGTTACATATAAAATAATGAGTATGAGAAATAAAGGAAAGCAACGACGGTGCCTTTTCTTTATCTCCACCACATTGTGGGTATTTTAATTAGTGCTTTGTAGCCATGATCAGTGATAGTGGCTAGCATGGACATTTTTGTAGACTATCTGGGAAAAAGGGTTACCGTTGAATGGAAGGGATTGCACTGAGAAACCCTTCTGTTCCTATGTTGTGGTTTGAAATATCTGTGAAGAAGACATCCATTGCCAAGTACTTCATCTGTATATGTGAAACCATGAAGATAAATCCACTCTCAGAAATAATTTATGGCCAGGTCTTCAGCTACTGTAAGTTGGCATAAGTCCATTAAAGTCAACAGAGTTGCAATGATTTACTTCAGCACAAGGTTCTAACGTATATAATTTGCTTTTGGTTTGAGGTAATACAATCTACTGGAAAATGGTAGACAATGTGTGTTGTTTCAAGTGCAAAGAGTCATTAAACTGAGTATTCATCATGTACGCTAACATAGGTGGTCTGATGGATGTTGCAATTAAAAGATGTGAACATTTATTTTCCTTGTGATAAATCACTTTTCTTTTAAAGGGTGATACAGGTCCTCCAGGTCTCAAAGGATTACCAGGAGTAAAAGGTTTTAAAGTGAGTGCCCTTCCAAATGTTTGAAAACTTCATGGCAATGCATCCATCTGGAATATCTTTCAGTGTAATAAGCAGTATGACAACTTATGTTGGAATATCATAGAAATATATGTGACATCATGGCAGTGTCTGAAGTTGTCATCATAGCTGCAAATATGAAATGACTGAGAAGCAGCTATTACTACTAAATACTTACTTTTTGCTCTTAGTGGGTATTTGGATCACCTGGAAACAGAGGAGAACTTGGAGCAAAAGGAGAAAAGGTATGTACTATGTTTTTTTAGCTTAGCTGAACTCTTCAAAAGTTAAGCTTGTAATGTTTTCTGTCTATGCACTGGCTTTTACCATGGCTATGATCTGAACACTGAAAGAAATAAGTCAAAACCTTGTCAGCAACTAGGCCAAGAGAACTTCATGAAAATCCCAGAGTGCTGGAGGAAGTGATGTTGGTGATTAGGATGGCATTCTTGTCTCTGAGTTACTCCTTAACCTCACTACATAGGTTCCACCTTTTTGATGATTTTTGGAAGGGTATATCGGACTCTTTCTCACTTTTTAGTGTGTTTTTATAAGATCCCATGGAGCTCTAGCCAAATTCTAACTTGAGAACTCACTATAGCCCACATATATTCCATTTTTTTTATTTCCTTGCTTAAGAGTTACCATATTTTCTTGCATATAATGTGCCCCAGAATAAGATACACATCTTTTTTTGAAAGACAGAATGAAGGAAATCTTTTCTTGTACATAACTTAGTCACAGCAGCTAAGAACCTGAGGCTGCTCATTGTTTTGCTCACTGTGGATCACATGCAGATTTTACTTTTGTTTGTCACTGGTAAGTGGCTGAAACTGCTTTTGCCATATTTCTTACATGTAATGTGAACTCCAGTATCCAACAGCTGTGTTTTGGTGAAAAGACATGCAATTTATGTGGGAAAATATGGTACTATGTTGTCACTGGTCCAGAATCTTTGCTATGTTCCACCTTAGAGGTGGCTGTATTTCATAGGCAACTGAATGATCATAGCATGGAGAATAGTACATGAAGTGCTATTACTAGATGGTTCTTGAATAAATAACCTATAAAGTTCATTGAACTAATTTGTTACTCATGACATTTTATGTAGGTTTTTGTGGGATACTAAACACAGTAAGACTTTATGTTTCACGTTTGTGTCCATCACTGAATTAGTTGTCTTTTTTAACACTTCAGGGAGAACAAGGAGAACCAGGTGTTGTAGGAATCATGGGATTCCAAGGAGTGAAGGTAAAAATGTGCATAAAGGTAAATAAAATGTGGTGAAAATGACCTTGCTGTACCCAGATTGATCATGTAGTGTGAACACAGGCAGAAGGTAGGGCAAAATGACACTTCAGAGACTTGCTGGTTCAAAGGGGCATGAGCTTTTATGCGCTTCATCAGATGTACCCTGGCCTTCCTTCTGCCTGTAGTATGTGCCTGTGGAAGGTACCTGTAGATGTGCAGGGATGATGCTCTGACATGCTGTAATTACAACATGTCAAAACAGACTTGATTAATTGAGCCTGCTGGAGTGTGCTAATTTGCATGTTCCAGCAGCTTCCATGTCTTGTATACCCAGTATCCCTGTGCTTCAAAACAGCAGATAAAGCACCCCACCACCATTTTGAAGCGTGGGATGCTGAATACACAAAATGCTGCAGGTGCTTTCATTAGTGTGGCTCTCAGAGCTGCTCTAATTAAAACCCCCTCCCGCCACCAGCCTCTGGAGCACGTGTAAAGGTGCACTGAGTGTTTATAAGGACATCTATATAACATATTCCTGCGCACAAGCAGCAACCATCTATTGCCACCCTAAAATAACTTTAATTTATGATAAAGTTTACCAATAAAAAGAAGTTTTAACAAAATCTCAGGTAAAAGAGTATCTCTTGTGTAATTGGTTGCAAAAATGCTGGTGGAAAAATGATTCTTGCATATATGTAGGAGGTGTTTCAAAAATGTAAAGGTGCAGTTCATAGAAAACAAATGCATAGTTTTGGACCTTCACATACCAAAAGGCAATAGGCTTTTAATGCTGAGTGTATGGCCACATAAATCTGTTATGTTTCTAGTGGGGAAAATCACCACTCTCCCAGTAGAAACTAAAAGTTCTAAAAGTTCATTCAGTTTCTCCCAAAGGACCCATACCCTTCTGGGATAAAGATTGATACCTAGAATTCCCCTGTGATAGAGTTTCTCTTGTAAAAATGAACACCTGTACACTTCTCCTCCATGATCCGCAGGAGCTGAGTAGCATGTTCCCCTGTGCTTTTCCCCAGACCAGGGACTCTAGTCTGAGGCAGGTGGTGGGGGGGAGGGCAATTCCTCACAGCTTGACTCCTCCTGTGGAGGATTTGGGCTGCTGGTACTCCCTGAGCCTTCTCTTAAATTGGGGGCACCCACTGCCCTACTGCTCTACTCTTCCCATCCACTGTGGCTAGGTACAGACATGTAAAAAGCCCAAGGTGGAATCAATCAAAGTTACGTGGTTTCCTGTAAGTGGCATAGTTTAGATCAGTAGTGAAGAGAACACACGTTCGCCCTTTGGTGGGGCAGGGGAGGGCCCCCAAATCTTAGACCAGGTTCCGCCATTTTTAAACCAGTCTATGTGTGCCAAACTTCTGTTCTGTTACAGGTAGACCGGTTTTGTGTGCTGACCTGTTCTGTTATGGGTATAGACTGGTTTCCAATCACTTATACCAGTAAAAGTGTAATGTCTGTACCTGACCTGTAGGACTGCCGACACTGGCTTCAAACATGCTGCACAGGGGGAAGCCCACTGGCCCCCTCCCCGCTTGTGGCATTTGAAAAGCAATGCTTCCAAAAGGGCACCTCAATCTGGAGAATGGGTAACGGGTATTGCCCTCCTCTCCCAGTTCTGTCTATGAGGTGTGTGGGGCAGTGTGGAAGGACTCTCTGCCTGTTGCCCTGACCGAGGTGTCCAGAGTCTTGGGGAACAGGGGGCAATTTTCTCTGTTATTCCACTTTTGCCAGAAACAGAAGTAGAGCAGTGATTGCTTCCCATGCCTTCCCCAGACTGGGATTACACTGATATCAGGAAAGCACAGAGAGCAGGGGAGAGAGGGCAGCTTCAGCCTGAAGCTTTCTGAAAAAAATTTATAGCTATAAATAACTCCTGATCATAGCCTGTAACTGTGTGCACAACTTCTGTTGTTGTACTTCTAGGGTGATAAAGGCTTGTCTGGAGCTGATGGTTTACCAGGCCAGCAAGGACCTAGGGTAAGTTTAACTAAAGCACAAACTTTTACTTAAATGTAGTTATCATTTTTAACAGTAAAGTTAATTACTGGGTCAATGTATCAAAGGATGTACTAGATCCTCTGTAATTTTGTCTTTCTAAAGATGTTACTGAGCCAGAAGCTATTGCAAAAATCACTGTGTAAAATTACTGAGGGTAGGAGCTCAGACTAGGGAGCATAATGATAATTTTACTTTAAAATCTATGCATCTTTATTATTTTCATAATGGTCAAACCATGCTAGGTATAGAATCATAATATTAAATGCTGGTGAGGCATTTTTATTTTTATTACTACTTTTAAAAAAATCCATTTAATCACTTTCGTTAGTTCTAGAGCATTATTCTTTTAAATTAGTGAAATATATTTTATGGATATTTGTCTATCCTAGTACATCCTGGCTGACTTCTTTCTTATGGATGCTCAGCTGGCAAACTTTGGATTGTACAGACTTTTAATATTACCGAGTCTGAGCAGTGTGGAGACAGTTTGTGTGCCTAGAATTCCAGGCACTCTCTCAAAATGCAGACTTCAAGACTGAGACCCCTTATCAGGATGTGAAGCCCCCTGTCTAGCCTCCTTGTACCCTAAGATCAGAGCTGACCCCACATTTTTACCTGCAACTTATACAAGCCCCATCCAGATCTCTGTCTTCCTAGGCACTCTGGATTATTGTTTCTCTACTCAGCCACATTGTGACAGCTACAGAAAATTACAGATAAACTGGGAAAGGCTCATCTAACTATATCCATTGCTCATAGACACACCACAAGATATACACAGATCTATAGAAAAATAAAACATAAAAATGTACCTGCAGACCACCTGGACCCTATTTTATTTTTCCCCTATATCTTCTGAGAGTCCTTTGGGCTTCACTTAGTATCTTCCAGTGTGTATGGGTTCTTCTGTGGATCCTTTTGTCCTATAGATTTCATAGATTTCATAGACATTAGGGGCTGGACAGGACCTCATGAGATCATCAGGCCCAGCCCCCCCGACCATAGGTGGGAAGCCAGGTGGGATCATATGACCTCAGCAAGAAATCAGCTGTTTTTTGAAGGAGTCTAGAGTAGCTGCTTGCACCACCTCTGGGAGGAGTTTGTTCCAGACCCTGGACACACGTACCATAAAGAACTTTTTTCTTATATCCAGTCTGGTCTTCTTGAAGTTTATGGCTGTTAGACCTTGTTATCGTTTGGGGAGCTCTGGTGAACAGATGTTCTCCCAGGTCCTGATGTATCCCTGTTTTGAAGTTGTAGGCTGCCACCAAGTCCCCCCTGACCCTTCTCTTCTCCAGACTGAAGAGTCACAAGTCCCTCAGCCTCTCCTTCCCTCCAGGCCTTGGATCATATGAGTGGCTCTCCTCTGGATTATCTCAAGCTTCTCCACATCCTTCCTGAAGTGGGGGGCACAATACTGGATGCAGTACTCCAGCTGCGGTCTCACCAGGGCCAAGTAAAGTAGGAGGATGACTTCCCTGGTTTTGCTTGAGATGCTTTGGTGGATGCACACCAGAGTTTGGTTAGCTTTGCCCGCCACCGCATCACATTGGTGGCTCATATTCATCTTGTGGTCAATCAAGACCCCAGGTCGCTTTTGTCGTGGTGCTAGTGAGTATAGCACTGCTGAGCCTATAAGTATGCTGAGGGTTCTTCCTACTGAGGTGCAGCACCTTGCACTTCTCTGCATTGAAGGCCATCCAGTTTTGGTCAGCCTACCTTGAGAGTGTGTCCAAGTTGGCCTGTATTCCCAGCCTGTCCTGAGACATGACGGCCTTCTCCTGTAATTGGGTATTGTCCGCGAACTTGGCCAGTTCACATCTGATTCCTGAATCTAGATCATTGATGAAAATGTTAAAGAGTACTGGCCCGAGTACCAAGTCCTGAGGGACTCAGCTGCTAACACTGTGCTACGTTGATTTGCTCCCTTCAACTAGTACTCTTTGGGTCCGACCCCATAGCCAGTTGCCTAGCCATCAGACTGTATGATGATCGAGGCCACAGTTTCCCAGCTAACCCATGAGGACATCATGGGGAACCAGGTCAAAGGCCTTCTTGAAGTCCAGATAAATGACATCGATGTCATCTCCCTTGTCCAAGGCATATGTTGCCTGGTCATAGAAGGAGATGAGGTTGGTCAGGCAAGACCTGCCAGTCACAAAGCCATGTTGGCTGGCATTCAGAAGCTTGCCTTCTGTTAGTCTGGTGTTGATGGATCCCTTGACAATTTTCTCCAGGATTTTTCCAGGGACGGAAAAATAGACTGATTATAGTTCCCCAGGTCATCTCTCCTCCCTTTCTTGTAGATAGGAACCATGTTGGCTCTTTTCCAGTCATCCAGGACCTCGCCTGAGCAACACAATTCTTCAAATATCGCTGCCAAGGGGGATGCAATGATGTCTGCCAGCTCTTTCAAGACTCTCAGGTGCATTCCATCTGGGCCCAAGCACTTGTGAATGTCCAGTTTCTCAAGGTGTTCCCTCACCTGATCCACATCGATTTTGGGCCTGTCACCCATTCCCAAATTGGTTTGTGCCATTCCTGGCAGTGTGATCCTTGTGGGAGGGTAAAAAACTGATGCAAAAATATTATTTAGGAGATTGGCTTTTTCTTGGGCATCTGATGTAAGTTGCCCCATTAGATATGTCACGGGCCCAATACTGTCCTTGTTCTTTTTCCTACTTCCCACATATCTAAAGTAGGACTTTTTGTTGTCCTTGATGCCTGTAGCTAATCTAAGTTTGGTTTGTGCCTTGGCTTTTCTTGACCGCTCCCTGCAGGTGCAGGCGAGTGCAGAGTAAACCTCTTTGGTAATGCTTCCTGTGTTCCAGCTGGTGTAGGCTACTCTTTTGAGCTTAATGAGGTCCAACAATTCCTTATTCAGCCATAGGGGCTTCCTTGCTTATTGACTGCATTTCTTGTGAGGAGGGAGGGCTTTGCCCTGTGCTTCAAGTATTATGTTTTTGAGCGATGACCATTCCTCATGTACGTCCTTCTTTGGCGGGTTATGGCCTCTGATTGCCTGACTGATCAGTTCTCTCGGTTTGCAGAAGTCGGCCTTCCCAAAGTTAAGCACTTCTGTTTTACTGAGGGGTTTGCCTGCTCGGTGAACTAAGAAGGTGACAAATTCATGGTCACTGTCACCAAGCTTCCCCTCGATCTGCAAATTGCTCACCAGTTCCTCCCCTTTGGCCAGGACCAGATCTAGCAATACCTCTCCCCTAGTTGGTCCGTAGACCTCCTGGGTTAGATAGAAGTCATCAATGCCCCCGCCTCCAGGCCGCCATCGCCACTGCTGCCACACTCTGCTCCTGGAAGCCGGTCACAGAAAAAAAAGGTTGGGAACTACTGAGGTAGTAAGTCATAAATACAGAGGTACCTATGATCATACAAAATACAGTTACATCCTGGCCACGTCTACATGAGCAGCGGACTGCGCAGTTATTACTGCGCGGGCATTTAGTACTTGCTTATGCAAGTGTGGAAGGACTCACTTATGCAAGTACTAAACGATTGTTCAGTAATAATGTCTCATGTAGATGTGTCCCCCTGTGTCCTAAACCAACCCTGGTATCCCAGGTATTGGTAGCAGTTTAATTATGGCAGCATTTGGCTTTGTTGGCAAATATTTGGAATCTCTGTTGCTGTGTTAGAATGCTATTAGTACCCATGCTAACTAGTTTAAAGATAGCTTGAGTATATCAATATGCTACTCATTTGTATTTGTAGCATAGACATACCTGTATACACCTGAACCTGCAGGGATCCATTACCTTCAGCTACCATAACATTTCCAAAACTATTCTCAGCTGTGGCATACAAGTTGCTGAGGAGTAACACATGTTGTTCTTTACAATAACAATGCAAAGGTCCCAAATTCATGGTGAATAACTCATTGTTTCACCATTTCCAGCTTAGTTTCAAGTAAAAGATTGAATCTATATAGTCATATGTCTTTCTTGTATGTGGCAATCCTGTATATCTTGCAGTAGTATTGATAACAATTTATAGAACAAAGTAGTTGTGAAGATTGTACATCTTTTTTCTGTATCTACGTCTTGTTTAATTTCAGGGCCCAGTTGGTGATCAAGGGGATTATGGTCTACTAGGTCCGAAAGGAGCTCTAGTAAGCTTTGTTTCTGCCTTACAAGTACTAACATCTCTACTACATATGAAACTAGAATGGCACAGAGAAAGAGCATATGGTTTAGATGACTAGTAATGAGAAACTGGAGCCTTTCCCCTCCTTGTCACAGATTCCCAGGCTGTTAGAATTTGGCATGCACAAGTCATTTCCAACGTATGCTAATTCACTGGTTTCTCTAAAATGAGATGGTCTCAGCTCAGAATTTGAATGATCAATTTATAGTGTCCCTCTGCAATCACACTGATTTATTTTGGCATAAGAATTTACAAACACTCCTGCTGAGGAGAGCTTACTTACCTTTATCCCAATAGTACAGCTGTTAGAACACTTGCTCAGGGAGCCGATAACCTAGGATCTAGGCCTCTTCACCCAAGGGCGAGCTCTAACAAAGTGCTCTAACTACCTGCTTATGTGTACATCTTACAGTAAGCTGTCATTGGTTAGCATATTTTAAAAGGCTGTGTTTAAAACTACATTTTGTCGGGACTCTGGTCTCTGGGCTATGAGAGTATTTACAAGATTGAGCCCTTCAGGAAACCTAGGGAGAGAAATGCCTAATTTCTAGATCTTGACTTCAGGTAGGTATGAGCTAGGCACTGAGCACCTGACGTGCCCAAACTGAAGCATTTCTATGTGTTCGTCAGGGTAGAAACTTCAGGTAACCAGTAAACTCAAAAAGGTTGCAAACTGCAGGTCCTGTGGAGTTTAGGTGTCTCCAGGGCTAGGCAGCAGCTGAGTAAAGGGTTTCAGGTCTATTCTCTCTGAATATATTCTCTGAGTTATAATGACCACAGTTAACCTGCACGTCTCATTTAATTAAAAGTGATTCATTAGTTGTTTATCTAGGGTTTCACTGGACCTCCTGGAAGGAAAGGTACACTTGGTCAAAAGGTAATGAGGAATAAGTATCATTTTTCTCTTTTGTTAAAATTGCACAGTAGGTTTTAATTTTGCATGTTTACTTAGTCTGCTTTTGTTCATTAACAGGGAATAAGTGGAGACCTTGGACTGCCTGGGAGAGAGGGGGATCCTGGTATAGAGGTATATGGGCTGTGGAATTGTGAAGCAATCAGTATTTTGCTTTTGTGTTCTTGAAAACTAACTTTTTATTTTTAATTACTGTGATTACTTTAGGCCTATCAAGGATATCAAGGGCCAGAAGGTAGAAAAGGTATTTCAGGATTAAAGGTAAAGATTTTAAATGTTAATGTGTACCTACAAGAATTGATTTTTAGTGTTCTTACTTTTCAGTGCAGATTAAAATAATCTGTTTTCTGCATGTCTAGGGGGAGAAAGGATTTCTAGGAAAGGCAGGTCCTGAAGGGCTTAAGGGAAGAACAGTAAGTACCATCTATTCATGAAGACTTTCAGCATGGCTTCCTGGGATCAAGAAGGCCTGAGAATGACCTTTTATATAGACAGGTTGGTGAACCAATAGGCCTGTGGGCAGTGGCAAGTTTTAGCTTTGAATTCAGCTGATTTGGAGGGACAGTGATTCAATTTGGACATTCAAATCACTGTCTCAATTTGATTCGGCTGAATTGGATCTGAAGATTAGGTGCCACTTTGAAGATTCAGCCATAGACTAAACAGGCAGCAGTCCTCACCACGCTGGACACAACTAACTCCAGCTGGTAAGTCTGTTGTGGTGGGTGGAAAGAGGAGGGAAGGGACATCGGGGAGGAAAGCTTGAAGCTGGGACAAGCTGGCCAGCTGGGGCGTGGGGCGTGGGACTCAGGGAAGGGGTGGAGGGGGTGTGAGATGTGGGCATGGCAGCGCTGGGAGCAGAGGCTCTGCCCTGCTGCTGCTTGCTCAGCCAGGGTGGCAGGGTGCAGGTGCAGGCGCTGCTACTGCTTGCCCAGCCAGTGTGCGAGTGTGGTGGAATGCGGGGGCTATGCCCTGCTGCCTCTTGCCCCCTTCCATGCAGAGTGAGCCACACCTGCATTGCTCCCCATCTCTGCCCTGGCTAGGCAAACAGCAGCAGGGCATAGCCGCTACTCCCAGCGCTGTCGCGCCTGCATTCCCCCCCGCCCTAGCTAGGCAAGTGGCAGCAGCAGGGCAGAGCCCCCACTCCCAGTGCTGATGTGAGCATGACAGCACTGGGAGTGGGGGCTATGCTCTGCTGCTGCTTGCTTAGCCAGAGCGGGGGAAGGGGGTGCAATGCAGCCATGGCTCGCTCCGGATGGAAGGGGGTAAGCAGCAGCAGGGGCTAGCCCCTGTTCCCAAGGCTGCTGCACCCACATCCTGCCCCCCCCACCCTGGCTGGCCAAGCAGTGGCAGTACCCACATCCCATGCCCCCCTCAGCTGGGCAAGCAGGGGT